AGGGGAAAACAGGAGAGGGACACAGAGAGGGACAGAGTGGGACACAGAGAGATACAGAGTGGGACAGGGGAGAGGGACACCGAGAGGAACAGAGTGGGACAGGGGAGAAGCACACAGGGAGCAAAAGTTAAAACATAAGAAAAACACAATCCATAATTGAAATGAAAACTCTTACATAAAAGAGGAGTAAAAGCACAGGAGACGTGACAGAGAAATGCTTTATCAATGTATGTATGTATTTTTTGATTAGGGGCCTGAGAATAGGCCAGATTTTGAGTAGTTAAAATGCATACTTGTCCTGGAGATCGCTAATATGCCATAGTGTTCACTGTGTTTTATTATTTTGCACCGACTACACTGTCTTCAGGCTGTATGTACACCACACAATGAATACCCACAGGCAGATAAAACACAATTTTAAGTCTCCTTCAATATGTTTCACAGAGTGGTACTTCACTTGAATGTTTGACCATCACTGCAGAATGATGTATGTTTCCACAAAAATGTTCTGAAGGAAGAAAGTTTCTCCGTGATCACATTACATCTCAAGTTTAAGACGTTGCTGGGGGACCAGAGTTAACAGGCACAGAGCCTTTCATGAGGCAACAAGTTACTGTTGAAAAGGAAATGACCCACTATGTAACAAGTAACATTAAGTCTGCAGTTTAATGGGACTGTCTATATGCTGGATTTTCCGTAGTGTTGACCAGTTATCCATAAGGACCTGACACTGTTGAATGTTTCCAGTGTTTTGTGTGTAATTGGAGAATATGTACATGATGTTTCTCTGTGTATTCAAAGAGGAACATCCAGTTTAAAAAGTTAGTTAAAACTCATTGGGTTGCAGTGTTTTATTTATATAAGTTAAATTAACCCACTGTCTGTTTATAACTGAACGCTGTCACACAAAGCAAGCTAAGTACTAGACAACTAACTCATGCCCTACAGGCTTTATTCAATCGTCTGCTTGCTGAACATTTTAATTACCTGTAGATGTCTCAAATAGACTAGCTATCATTGAAACATTCAAAATCAGCTAGACCTGATATGACAAGTTTTGTATGCATCGCATTGATTTCATGTTAAATTTACGGAAACAGACACTACGTTGGTTAAAATCTGATATGATTCAGTAACATTATACTCTCAGTGAGACTAAATCCCCATCTGTAAATCATGGCTTCAAAAATGAAGTTAACGTTACATCATAACGTTTGTTTACTGCAATTTATATGTGCTGCACATTAAAGTGTGTCCACAGGTTTTTGGTTTCATTCCTACTGATTTTTTAACCCCACTGCTGAAATTAGTACACACACCTTTTCTCCCAGTTGTGATCCATTTGAAGAGAGTCCAAATGTTTGTTGTCACTGTTGTGTGCTGTTACCTACATTATTTTAAGTGCATAGGTAGGTCCAGTCTTGCTGGAGCCAATCCCAGTTGACATTGGGCGAAAGGCAGGGTACACCCTGGACAGCTATCATAGGGCCAACACACAGAGACAAACTGTTGTGTACTTTCACATTGATGTTCATGACATTATGATCAATTTAGGTTCTGAAAGACAGGTTCAGTCAATTTATTTGATAAAGGACTCGCAATCATTCAAATGTCAAAATCTTCATTGATCAATAACCAGATTCATCTGTTCACTATCTGATGTTTAACTGGTCTTTCTCTTTTCTTGTTTCTGACTCAGACATCTTTCAATCATGTTGAAGGGGTTATGGAAGTTGTTCCCTGCAGCACGTCTCTCCCTTCTTTTTTGAATGCTAAGCCAACACTCATCTCTTCAGGCAAAAAGAGAAGCAACCAGTCATCAGATGAGAGTGACGTGGAAAGTGGAACAGAAAGCCATGATGGTTGCAGAGGAAATTATTTCCTGCAAGTGGGCTCATCATCTTTGTCAGCCCCCTTGTCTCCAGAGCCTGAACCACAGCTCAGTATCTTCTCAAACCAAATATCAGACTTCAGTTCACAGCCTGAAGTCTCACATTCCAGTGCTGGACTGAACCATACACAGAGCACAGTCACAGACAGTTGGACGGCAGGAATAAAAGACACAGATAAGGAGAAGAAGGTGGTGAGAAAGACAGACAACCAGGATGTGAATCTCCACACATTAACCTTTGGCAGGAATGAGGAGAAGGAGAAGGAATCTCATCCAGACCTGGTACAGGTCGAGCCACAGTCTCACTCAGCCTCAGAGGAGAACAACATCAGTCCAATTCAACCCTCACAAACTTGGCATACCAAGGATGTGGCCATAGAAACAGTTTCCTGCTCTTCTAATGAAGAGGAGGAAGAGGAGCACTCTGGATATATGGGGCGTCCAAGCACAGATGTCTTGCGGAATTTATGGTAGAAGTCTGCAAGTTTCCCATTTGGAAGCTTGAAGTCTTTTCAGAATTTCATAATGTGTTCAATCGAAAGAAAGACTTGCACTGGTCTAAATTCTGATATGGACAACTGATTTTTGGTGAGTAATTCTCGTTAGGACGGATGTACTGCACTCACACTGAGCCAGTCCAGCACCAAACAGTACACTTTGAAGTAAAGTAACAATTCCTTAGAACAGTACCTCACATACTTTATGATTTTTAAGTTTAAGTTTTTTTCAGAGCCGTCAACAAATATCGAACTAGAATGGTAAATGGTTGTATTTATATAGCGCTTTCTAGTCTTGATGACCACTCAAAGCACTTTACAGTACAGTTTGCTATTCACCCATTCTTGCTTAAGTACACTTTGACATGCAGATGGACAAGACAGGGATCGAACTGTCGACCTTTTGGTTGGAGGATGACCGCTCTATCCCTCAGCCTCAGCTGCCCTGGAATGGCACTCAGTAGAGCAGTTACCTCCACCAAGTGTCAAATTGCACACTTTCATAGATACCAGTCCATTGAATATGCCAAAAAAACTTTTATCTTGAATCCACCCCTTTGTCTGGATCAGCACCAAAATTGAATGGGTCCCATGTCTCATCATTCCACCAAGTTTTGTGGGAATCTGTTGTGTAGTTTTTGTGTAGTCCTGCAGACAAACAAACCAATGCACATTGGCAAATGCATAACCTCTTTGGCTGAGGTCAAGATGGGCTTAGTCCAGGGGTAACAACTTGAAATGTTGCCTCTTGTTGACTCACATGGGAAATTTATTTTCACTTTTACAAGCGCTAGCACTCGTACTAGCATGAGGTCTAAGATTCATGTTTATTATTGCTCTACCGCTTCAGTATTACATTCCTTATTCCATAGCATTTACTGGAGTTATAACTGGGGCCCATAAGCTCAGTCTATACAAACACATCCAATCACATACACTGAATTTCACCTTTTTCATTTAGAGAAACACTTAACTTTGTGTCAAACCGTTCTCTTTGAACTTCCAGAAGTGCTGTTTTACTTACTCTGTGTTGGCAGCTGATATATTTTATAATGTTTTGAGTTAATGACTGATAATGCTTTTGCTGTTTTCACATCAACCTTATACATCAGACAGCTGAGTTCTCTGTCACATTCTTGGAAGTAGAATTTGTATTAGAAAGCTGGATAATACACCACCTCCCATGAGCGATGCTGAAAATATATTGTATCATGTTTGCAGCAGCAGCTGTAGGACTAACTTGAAAAGGGAAAACTGTTTTTTTCCCTTATAGCTAAGATTCCACAGCAAATGTCAGACTTAGGTTTCAGTTCCAGCCAACGTTGAGAAAACATTTTATGTCATTTTAACTTTTGTTTTGTTACGTACATACATCACCATGCTTCTTGTTAACTGAGTTGAGGTAGGTATACTGAACAACAATTTCCTTATGTGTATTAGTGTCAATATCACTGATGACTGATCAATGTGCACTAGACATTGCATTTCAAAGAAAAGGTCAATAAAGAGGAATAGTTGTGAGCAAAAGGAGAATTTATGTCTCCAGAATATGTATCTGAATTGATCTCAAGCTGAAAACAATTTGCTGCTATAATTGATTATTATCAAAAAAATGCCATTTTTGATGCTTTGATTATTTTTTAATGGATTAATCATATGGTAATTGTCATGGTTAGTGTGCAATCATTACCAGTGAACTTTGTGAAGTTACACATTGCAGTAGGATACATGTATTATGACTATAACATGTGTCATGATGCTTGTATCGGTATGCCTCATCTAACAGTATATTCAAATTCCCAAACTGAAAATTGCATTTTTGATATTGACTGTAAAATCCTGCCATCCTTTAAATTTAACGTGCATAAATAGTCAGTGTATCCTGTTACTCATTCTTAAGCTGTGCACGTTTCTTTCACAATAATAAAGTTACATTTTGATTTTGTAAATAATTGTGTTCAATTGTATTATTGCAGGAAAAGCAGCAGCAAGTTGGCCATGTGTTATTTCTTCAATTTCACTTTGTACAGACAAGTATATCAGAAGAATAACTACTAATTAAACTGGGAAAGAACAGAAGAAAAGTTAAGGAATTGTCAAGTTTGCTGAGTCCTGCCTGATTCTTGACAAAGAAAGCCCACTGAGTTAGTTGTTAGTTGCAGGATTTGCGGGGCAGAATACACAGGGAGGGACTTCTGGGGAAATAGAAACTCTGCACGTTACATGAAAAAAACAACCCCACACATATTCTCAGCTCCCTCCTATCTCTTTCTATATAACATCCTGCACAAGACTTTAACTGCGGGCCATAACACAATCTATGGACAGACAATGGGTCTGTGGACACTTCTTCTGCATATACACCTTGGTAATGCTCCCTTTGTTTTTGCTTGTTATTTTATTTATTTCATCAGCTGCTTATGTGTGATTTTACACTTTTGGACTCAGATTTGTTCATATCCTCGTAAGCTGTATATAGAGGTTGTTGATAGATAGATAATTAGATAGACATGCTTTATTCATCAGGGGAAATTCAATATAACAACAATAAGTACAATTCTTTTTTATTTATTTTTATTTTACACAGAAAAGCATACATGTGGGACGGTGATTGAGTTGTTAAGGCAGAGCTAAATTTAGGCAAAGTTAAAACAGAGGAGACTGGTTGAATGTTTCAGTAATCAAGAAGCATAAAAACATAAAACAGTGCAAAGAGCAGAAGTTGATGTGTACATAGATGTGTGTATGTGAATCTTGGCAATTCATTTTAATGCTATTAAACTAAATAGCTGCTCATAGTTCAGAATGAACAGTTTCTTGCATTTTGGCAGACAATAACTGAGTTAAAATAATGATGAAGACAGGACAGAATCATTTGAAATTCAAATAATCTCATTTTTAATTTTATGTTCTTATTCTCTCCCTCTGAAGTGTTTTGTGTTTCTCTCGCACCACCTTCCAATGTCTCCATCTCTTCCTTCAACATGGAGCATACACTCAACTTCCTTGCCGGTCCTGGGACCCCCTCTGACACACACTTCACCGTCCAAATCATCCACCACAGGTATTCAGTCAAGAAACAAGTAGAGAGAGGAGATGACACATTGAGGTAGACTCATGACCATTTTGTATCACCCCCTGTTTGTTTAATATGTTCACTAACTTATATGTTTAGCCTCTGCCTCGTTCAATAGTGTCATGTTTCATTTTTGCTTCTGAAGCTTTTCTAATTGCTCTGAGTTTGCACTTCCCTTTTTGATAAAATGTCTACCTCTGCCCCCCCCACCGTCACCCCCAGCACTATGCTTCACTGTGGTGATGATATGTTAATCTTAATGTTCTAGGGTTATGATCAGTCTTTCTCTTTTCGTTTCTTTATCTTCTTTCACTCTGGAGGACTAACTCGTGGAGACCAGTGGTGGGTTGTTCGGAGCTGACAGCTGGACAGATGTGCAACCTAACCAGAGTGTTCACTGACCTGTACACTCACTACAAAGCTCGAGTCCAAGCCTTCACAACCGCCCAGACATCCAGCTGGACTGTATCAACCTGGTTCCAGCCTTTGTCAGACAGTGAGACACCACAGACACAGTTAAAAATATGTTACACACAAATATATATATATATATCTATATATATATATATACAGTATAGTATATTGCCCAACATCTCATCTCCCTCAAAGGGCAACAATGACAATTCTTTGTCCTGTGATTACTCTCGTCTTAGTTGATAGAAATTAAATAAATGTTTCTCCCCATAGCTGTGCTGGGACCTCCTGATGTGTCTGTGTCTGGCTGTGGAAACTGTTTGATCCTGCAGATCAAACCTCCTGTAACAAAGGGCCTCCAGTATAACCTGCAGCTGGAGAATCTCTACAGAGGAGTGATCCTACATGTGCGAAGAACCAGGGATGGGGCACAGGTATTTGTTATACAGTTGCACTATAGTCAGTATTTTTATATTCCTATTTTGACTCTTCCCTCATCAATCATTTTACTTGTTTAAAGGTACAGTGTGTGGAATTAAGGGACATCTAGTTGTGAAATTGCATGTTGCAGCTAAACACCCCTCACCTCACCCTCTCCTTCCAAACATGAAAAAGAACCTGTGGTAGCCTTTAATTGTCATAAAAACTCAAAAGGTGTTTAGTTTGTCCAGTCTGGACTAATGTAAAAAACATGGTGGCCTCCGTAGAGAGGACCCCCTTTATATATAGAGGTGTCAACATAAAGTATTTAAATATAAAGGACCTTTTCTTTGGTAAAGAAAACTACAATTCATATAATTTAGATGAAACAAACTAGTGAAAACATCATGAGGATTATTCTACATTAAATTTCTGACAATAGTTCCCTTTCACCGAAATCTTACACACTGGACCTTTAAGGATCATAAATGTATAAAACATATCTATGCTAAAATTGTTGTTTTTCAGTGTGTGCATGGTTTAACCCACAACTTCCTCTCACTGACTTGTGTCTTCCTGTTTTTAAGAAAAGGTTCAGCCGTATGAGAAAAAAAAGGAATTCATCTTCACATCTGTATATTCACTCTTTTGGCCTGCGTTCGTGCCCGCTTCAATGTACTAATGTGATGAGACGTAAAAAAAAAACAGACAGTAGAGTCCATTACTGGACAAAATGTTGGTCAGAGCACACTTCCTGCCCTAAATTAGGTTAGAAACCTGAAAGAAAGTATTAGATTCTTTAAGCAGATATAGGTTTAACACCCTGGGTATGTGGGTTGTTTTTTATTTTATTTACCAACTTTGAGTGTTACAACAAAAAAAAATTAAATTAGATGAACAGACTAACTGGAGCACTTTACCATGGAGGACAAAAATGACTTAAGTATAAATAAATAAATACAGAAATAAATAAATGAATGAATATCTTAAATTTACTTCCACATTTATTTATTTCTGTATTCCTGTGTCTGCATGCTAATGAGAAAGGCAACCTCAGTCTCATGCAGGATTGGTCACAGGAGTGTGATGATCCAGTTCTACTGCTTGTGCCTTTTGTTGCTGTTTGCAGTGTTGTGCCAGTTCACACTTAAAAGAACGAGTTCAAAGTTCACTTCATGCAGATGAAAATGAACAGTTCACGTTTATATTTCATTTTTTATTGGGATGATTGAAAACAAACTTACGATCTTGTGTTGAGTTATTAATCGATGGTGTCGGATCATGTCTGCGTGTCTCTCTGGTCATTTTAACACAACATGTTGATGAGTCATTTTTTCATGATGTTTAAATGCAGCGAGTGAGTGGGGAAGATTCGCTAGGAATAGATTGCTTCTGTCTGGATTGCTCCATTGACCAATCCTGCTTGAGACTGAGGTTAGGACCTCCTACCTCATTTACATATGAAATACGGAAATAAATTAATTTGGAAATAAATGTAAGACATTTATTTATTTATTTCAACATTTATTTATTTATACTTAAGTAATTTTTTCATCCTCCATATTTTACACATGGATCAGCCCTATATGTTGTTTCATTTTCTCATTCTGAGCACCGGGTGTTTCTTGAGAAGAATACAGTACTTTGATGCAGGAAATGATTTGCATCACTCTTACGACAGCAACAGTTTCTGTTAACACTTTAGACATGGATGACAGCTTTACAAAGAAAGAAAGGTGCACCACCACCATAAATAACAGAAATAATGAAACAAAATCTTAAAAGTAACTTTACATTTACTGGTAACAAGTACACTTCTGAAGTTTATTCTCCTACTCCACTACAATTCAAAGGAGAATATTTTACTTCTAGGTACATTTTACTGTAACACACCTGGTATTAACATGTGGTTTTTGTGATCAGATCACAAGTGGACAGCTTTAAGTACAGGTGAACGTATTTCGACCGGATAGCGATCGAATCACGCCAGAACATATTCAGAGGTGGTCTGGGCAACATGTGCAGTGTGAACACAAATGCATCCTGGGCCACATAAGGACCGCCTGCTCAGCTGATGTCCTCTGACCCACTACAGTTTCACTATGAACTGAACCTATTTTTACTCTTACCTGTGCCCATATTTTGCCCTGATTTGTTTGTGGCCATCACCTAAATAAACACTGACTACGACATTAAATTGGTGAAATCTCAACTGCAGCTGCACAAGGTTCATTGAGCACCTCCTGACTCCTCTCTCATGTACACACAAACAGTGACATGGGGCACATCTGTAAACTCAGACTGGGTAAAAACAACATAATTTGAATTTAAATGACACAAAGGAAATATGTGTTAATATGCATGTAGAGTGGGGAAATGAGATCTGATCATAAGTGGTCACAGGAGACACATTCCAAATGCTTTTTGACACCACACATGAACACATGTACTTACTGCTGACCACTTGTGATCGGATCTCTCTGGAGGAATGTTAATAGCAGGTGTGTATGGGGACCTTTAAGATGCTCTGTTGAATTACAGTAACTAATTGACAATTTCTGAAGAAAGTTTGACACCTTTTTGTGTTTATGTGTCCATGAACTGTCATGTAAGACCTACAGTAGGCATCTAGACTAGACACATGTGGACGCATGGTTCAGCTTTTGTAATGCATGCTGTCATCACCAAAGAACCAACATAAAGAAGCCAAAATCTGAAACTATTTTTTATCAAATTCCTTGTCAATTGAAAAATTGACATTGACATTGAAATTTCCACTAAATACAAAAATTCTTCTTTCATCGATGTTTGCAAACAGCAACACAGGTGGCACCTTCTATTTGTGAATAAAGACCGATTTCTGATTCAAGATCTGTGCAATTGAAAAATCCACAGATGCAATAGACATTTATTCTATGCAAGTCATTTCTACCAACTGCGAATGTGTTCCTTATGTTTGACATAATTAAACCAACGGTTTTTGTATGAGATCTGTGTTAACTGTTAACCCAGTGAAAAGTGCCAACACACAGAGGACTTCTGCTCTACTAAGAAGGTGATTATAATCAAGTGGAGGCCTCCCGACAGTATATTTTAATATACAAGAAGGTACTGTAATGTAAGTGAGAGGCAAAACCCAACATACATACATTCAAATCTTGAAATTAGGTCACATCGAATGAGGTTGTAGCTTTTGCCTGTAATGACAGTGTGGTTATTTCGGATGGAGCAATAAACAATATACAGACTTATTAAATAAGTTATTCCCTCAAAATGTGTTGTTCATTTTTGCCCCCTTAATCTCCTGGTTTGTATGTTTCAGTTCAGACTGAATCTGCCGTACAGTGAAGAGAAAGTGATCATGTACCTGCAGCGAGGTGTAGAGTACTGTGTGAGCATCTCTGTGACTGCACTCTTCAACTCCAACCCTGTCCCCAGTAAACCTCACTGTGCCTTCACCAGCCATCCTCCATCCAAAAGCTCAAGTATGTCACTCTTGTTTACTTGAATACTCAGCATCCCCAAATTAATTAGCCCAAACTAATGCAAAAATGTAAGATTGTCTTCTTTTGTGCCATCAACTTTAATATGTTGCAACATAACCATCAATACTTTTCTGTCTCTTCACCTTCTCTCAACCAGCCTTGTTCAATAAGGACATTTTGATAACATTG